ATACATAAGCAGATGGATAGATAAGCACATATCTAGCTATCTGTATGTATCTATATATGTATGTACGTTCTTTATCTATCCATCTATATATCTTATCGATCTGTTTTTATTTATCTATCTATGTTTTTATCGATATTTTTATAACTATCGATCTATCTGTATGGATGTTCTTTATCTCTCTCTCTCTCTTTCTCTCTCTATCTATCCATCTATCTATCTATCTGCATGTAGGTTATCTATATATATATCTTACATGCATATATACAGATAGATAGATAATAAGCTAAATACATATAAACAGATACATAAGGAGATAGATAAATAGATAGATAAGCACATATCTATCTATATGTATGCATGTAGGTTCTTTATCTATCTATCTATCTATCTATCTATCTATGTTTGTTCGCATCTATTAATCAATCTATATCCAATCTATATCAAGTTATTGTACTTATGCACCATATCCCACAAGTGGATATAAAAATCTATATTCCATTCAGTATTTCAACTAGTATCCTAACCATTTTGGTTTTGATCACAACGTTCCGGCCGATGTAGTATTCGACCTTCCTTTCTGATGCACTGGTCCGAATCATTCACGCAGTCGTTTACAGCTTTGTAGCAGAATATCCACACACATTAAATGGATAACTGTTACGCTTCAAACATGCGTGTATCCACCCGCCCACTCACTTGTAGAGATACCCCAAATATATGGAATTGCGGCTGTGGGGTGGCATCCGAGACCAGCTCAGTGCACGTGTAGCTATCAATGGTAACTGCTTTCTGCTGGGTGTGCACACGTGGAATGGGATTTGTTATTTCGCCTACGCACTGGCTATGGTTGGCTGTTTCCTGTGCTTTCAGGAAGAAAGCCGGGGAAAAGGAACAAAACACGTGAGGTAAGAAAAGAAGCGAAAAATCTATTTTTAAACCCTTCTATATTTGGAACATGTGTAGCTTTCGCAACATGATTGAGAGAGGAGGCGTTAACAAGAGGAGGAGTTTGGAAAGACTGAAAGAAACGTCGCCGGGTAGTGGTTGCTTTTGATAGAGAACAGACAGAAAAAAAAAAACAATTAAGCGCTGAAACAAAAAAGAGAGGGAAATATTTTATAAGTCTGCTTGTTCCATAATTACTTAGCTCATACGCTACACCCTGTCAGTACCTCATAGATAATCGACTATTCCTTTTCAGTTGCGAGGAAAGACGGAAAAGACATATCGGAGACGCTGTTATCTTTAAGTGAAAAAAAAAAGGAAAAAAAAGGAAGACAAAATGATAGAAAGAAGGAAAAGATAAAGAAGAAAACACATTCATATGTTTAACGTCTGCTTCAGTGAAATGGAAAAATATTCAATTTCAGATCTTTTCATTTCTACCCTCTTACTACTTTAAATAATGGCAAATTATTATTTTTCCGATATTTTTTTTGCTAAGCTCAAATATCTTAGGCGGATATGCACGGACATTGTATAATCGTAGATCATCTAAGGAGTTTATTTAATCATTAATTCAAAAATTAAGATTCAAGCATTTTACATTATTCGGAATGTTGACCATATCGTTGTTGTTATATTCACGACGTTTCGTCCATTGTACGCTCCGTCCTTCCTCAGGTGACTGGAATTTTGAACTGAACCCCTTATTTCGTCATCGGGGTAGATTGTTCTACTTCCACGTGTCACGCCTCTTCCGGATGTCTCAGTTATTCCATTTTGACTTAATTCTCCAAGTTCTTGTTCACCGGTGCCGTAGCCAAGTATTGAACTCACAACTCTTTGTAACAAGTTACCGGATCCACCCAACGCATTTATCCACAGAGCCATGTGACCTTGATGACATGGCAACAAAGACGAGGACAACAGTCCGAACAAGGTAAATAGTGTAAATAGTTACAAGTAGCAGCATGGCCCGGCGTTGCACGTGTTTGATTCAAAAATCGTACGACTCATACAGCAATCGCTATCACTTGACTTAAAATATTGTTGCCCTTTCTTACATTTAAAGGAGTACTCTTTGCCGTGCTGATGTTGCTACATGCCTTACTTCTTGCCTATCTCACACTGCGAATTTTTTCGAAGCTCTATACTAAACATTAAATCTGTTACGAAAAAAGAACTAAACAAAATGAACAGAAAATTATCAGCTTTAAAAAAAGACTCGTAACTGGAAAAACCGAATGAAAACAAGAATGTTAACAACAAATACTTTTTCACACACCAACCCATTTCTGCGGAATTAGAATCAACGCTGAGTTTAAGCAAGCGAATGAGCCAATTGGAGTAAAGTGCCATGCAGATTTAAATTTTTCCTACTTGTGACGAATGCAGCGATCGAATTTTTTTTGCATGCTAGCATGCTAGTCAACATTCGTGTCAGTCAGCTATTGGCTCTCACGCTGGCCAATAGAATCTTCCTGCCTACTCGTGGCAGCCAGCTATTGGCTCTCACTCTGGCCAGTACAAAATGGCCGTAAACTACATGAAAACTGCCGTAGAAGCATGAAAAAATCGATTATTTCCACTATCGATGGGAGTTGGGAAATGTAAAGTCGGTCTTGGCCTTCACGCTAGCTTGGAGCATGTGCATGTAAATCTTGGTGCAAATCCGTCGAAAATTGCGGCCGTTCATTTGTTGCACACACACATCCTGCCTTTTATAGATAGAGATACCACATTTCAGAAATATAGACAGATTTTGAATTAAGATTCGTCAGAAAATTAAAATAGGAAAACCGGATATTTCTAGTTGACTATAATTATATTAGTATTAACTGCACTACTCTGGCGTACAAGGTCACAAATATAGAACACATAGAAAATATAGGACTGAGTAGCTAGATAAGCTAACATTCATTGCTAGGTCACTGGGGTTGCTGTATGTTTTTGATTGGTAGCCAATGGCGATACCTATCAGTCGTATAACGTATATTTTAACATTAGGAAGGCCGTAGAAGTGAAGCAACCTGCAAGGATCGAACTGAGAGCAGGAGACGAACTTGTTGAGTTCTTCCTTTACAGCGTGGCTCCCATGACCCTAATAACATTTGAGAATTTTGCTAACACAGAAATTCAGCATATGCTTTCTTTTTCTCTAGTCAGGTTCTGAAAGGACATGGCATTAAAAAAAAGATAAGGTCACAATCATCATAGAAGAAGGAAAACTACAAATCGGAGAGAAGGGAACGGGAAGCCACTCTACTGTCATTCTCAATAATGCGTGGCAATTCACAGATAATAAAGAAAATGTCCGTGGAGAGACATGAGTCTGAACGGATATGGCTTTAAAATAGATATGGTCAAAGTCAATCTAGCGTAAAAAAAAATCTCAAAATTCCAAACGGTGGAGAAGGAAAAGCGAAACCAGTCTATTGGCATTCCCAATAATGCATGGCAATTCAGAGATAAAGAATCTATGGATAATCTTGATCGCTCACGGGACATGACATTTAAAGAAAGATAAGATTACAACCAGTCTAGGAGAAGGAAAACTATAAATTGGGGAGAAGGCAACAGGAAGCCACTCCACTGTCATTCCCAAGAATGCGTGGCAATTCACAGATAATAAAGAAAAAGTCCGTGGAGAGACATGATTGTCTAAGTCCTGAACGGATATGGCATTAAAAAAAAGGTAAGGTGACAACTCTTACTTCCAAATCATAGTGTAGGCAATGTCAAATCATTCTGCTATCTTTCCCAGAGAAGTAACGCCATTTCACAGATAATAAAAGAAAAAGAATCAATGGATAACCATGATCAACTACACTGAATTCCAAACTATGGTAAAAACAATGGAAAACGACTCTGCTATATTCTCAAGTAATTCTCTTGGTAATTTGTAGATAACAAAGAAACAGTATCTGTGAAGAGTCATGATCATCAATTCCTAAAGGATATGGTATAAAAAGAAAGATGAGGTCAAAAGAAATCTAGCAGTAGGACAAATCAAATTTCCAAATCATTCTGCTATTTTTCCTAAGAATATATAGCAACTTACATATAAAGAATCCGTGAGGAGTCTTTATCGCCTATGTTCTGAAGGGCTGTGATATTAAAAGAAAAATAACGATTCTAGAAGAAAGAAAACTCTGATTTCCAAACCGTAGAGTAGGTAACAGAAAACCACACCACTGTCAAGTCCAAGAATGTATACCAATGCAAGGATAGTAAATAAAGTCTGTGGAGCTAACATAATCGCCAAAATTCTGAAAAGACATGACATTAAAAAAAAGATAAGTTCACAACCATTGTGAAGACAACGAAAAACCACTCCATTATCTTACCTAAGAGAACATGTCAAATCATGGATAATAAAGAAAGGGAAGCTGTGGAGGGTCATGACTGCCTACGTCCTGAACAATACGTTAAGGACAGATATGTGTAGTAGCATGTTGGGTCGTTGGTTCTCGGCCGATCTTCTTGGTCAAGAAGCCAGGCAGACAGTGATGAAACCCAGGTTGGCGGCAAAGATTTTCAGTGCTGTTTTTCGAAGGAATGCTTTCTCGACTTGGAAGATTTTAGCGCAACATACTTTGTTACATTTTGAGATAACCCTTTGCCAGACTAATATTAGCAGAATAAAAACTAAGTGAAAAAAAATTAATAGAAAAATAGATAATGGGGTTATGAATAATTTTGCAAGTAAATGAAGAGAGAATTGTTGCAAGGTTTCTAAAGTGGAGAGGATTTATTTGTTTAAATTAAAGGAAATATACTGTTCAGACTGATGTACGTGATTTGAAGGGAATTTGTTTGTTTAACGGCACATCAACATCTTATGGGTAATTTACTGTCAAAATTTACTTTTCTTGAGAGATTTGAAGTAACAAAAATGATATATTATTCTGCTTTCACAATTGAATACATGGTAAATGATACTTAGCTTATTATGTATATAAATGTTTCTAGGGACATGATTACTAGAGGTAGCGATATGTGTATTTTATGTTGAAGTTATATTTTTGAATACAGTTTGATTTCTTTAAGAAATTGTA